TTTGCACACCATAAATCCCACATGAATTTAGATGCGATCTAACCCGGGCCTCCGAGGTGGCAAATCGACAACTAACAGCCTGAGGTATGGCAAGGTACATTACAGGCTAAGAGCTGCAATGGTACATAACGTATGAATTAAATAAAATGTGACCTTTGTTTTCAAAAAGTGTTTCCTATTCAAGTATAGTTTTATTAAAATTGTCTGTGTGAACATTATGCATACAAATATCCCTTTAAAATATCCTTCACTACAATCGCGAGATATTTTTATTCGCGTTTTCTAATTATGAATTTAACTGGATAGACCATGTACTTTTAATGGGTTATCTATTTATCTATGGCTCCATAATCCTTTTGTTGGACCTTGGCCGCTTTTTCAATATCTTGATATTTTACACAGTCGGTAGGACTCCTTGGACGGGGGATCAGCCCGTCTCAAGGCCGTTACCTACACACAGAACAACACAAAAACATAATAAACGTATACAGACATCAGTTCCTTGAGTGGTATTCGAACCCACGATCCCAGTGTTAGAGTGAGTGAAGACAGTTCTTGCCTTAGACCGTGCTGCCCTGTGATCGGCTTTTCATGAGTTATAATTTCCAATAAATCGAAAACAGCATTTATACGCCATTAAACCTAACTATTATAGAATTTTGATTTCCAACGAATTTTCAGCTTCCCTTATTTGCAAAGGAGTACACACTTCAATGGACACTTAAAGATGTGCCCCTCTACTTTATCTTCACAGTCATTAGTCCGCTCATGCAAACGCTTCTCCACAGGATGTTCCGAAACTTCTTTTACATATAGCTGCACACATTCTCTTCATCATGGACTCTCTGAATAGTGTCATAGGTAAAGAAAACAGCAACACGACTGAACCTGGACATTTAAGGTCAAAATTCTCTGAATTTCTACCCATCTCTGACAAAAAGATAATTACAACTTCCGATCTATGAACTCTAAAAAGAGATCTGGCTATTATATAACCGGAATGTATTTGTGCAACCATTGGTAACACTGATGATTAGTTGCTTGTTAGCCCAATTGCCTAAGTGAGTCAGCACCTTTTGTTGAGTCGTCATTTCGTTTCGTTTCGCTCTGTAAAGTTGCGTTATGTGTTTGAATGAGGCAGTGCTCTTTTTCCAAACAATGATAAGAGACTGAAATTTGTTCGGACGCTTCGGCATGAACGCTCGAATGGCCTAGAATTCCGGAAAAATAATGGTGACCGATTATTGTATTTGAGTCTTCTAAAGCTGCCCAGAGACAAGTACCAGAATTTCTAATGGTTAAGTTCAAAGTATATAAGAACAAATGAAGCTTGAATATCAGAACCAGTGTTCAAGTAATGCTGGTATAGCAAGTGTCACGTAACTTCGAACAAGGCCAATAGTAACCTTGAATGCGCAGAAGAAAATTTTCAGACAAGGGGGTGGGTTCGAAGGTGTGAGAAGTGACAGGCGGCCAGTTGTGCAAACAACTTGGCCTTGTTCGAAGTTATGTGGCACTTGCTATATATTTTTGTTATTTAGATGCAATTATATGCTGCGAATATATATCTGTTCAGAACAGAAAGCCTAATAATATGTTCTTTTAGATATTCCTACAGAAAATTTATCAACAGATTCAAATTCTTTTGTTGGACACATGGCTTTTGCGCTCTCCTACAAAGCAACTTCGGTAAAACAATATTTTTTTTAAATAAGAACAATTAAATATAAGCATTTATTAATTCACCTTAAGCATTTGATTTGGATTTATATGTCATTTTCACGTCTCTGAAATGGTGAATTTTCCTAAAATGGTCTCCTATTTAACCTACTTCCCTAAAGAAAGCTTATCCGTTGTCATTCCTATTTGTGTGTGTGTGTGTGTGTGTGTGTGTCCGATGGCTGCTAGGTAACAGAGTCTCCTCTTCGACGAGAGCAGGGATCTGCCTTTCAGTGTGGGCGTTCCGACAAAGAGGAGCAGCGGACCTCCCCCTCCTCCTCCCTTTCAGGCGGACAATGAATATTTTGTTTTGAACATCTACCTAATATATCGGGGCGGATCGAAAAGAGAACACTAAGTTTAACAACCAAGAGAGTCTGATCAGAGCAGAGAATCTAAAAGAGAACATTAATTGTAACACCGAAAATACAGAGGAGATTACCATAGCTAGGCAACGGCCTCTTCACTATTGTGTATGCGTAGAAAAATCCAAATCTTTAATTAGCCTGCTTCCCACATTTTGAAAAAATAAAATTTGGCGTATGAGATCACCTGGCTCTCTGTGTGTGTATCCCCCTACCATTGCTAGGAAATGGCTCGGTAAACATGTTCCTACCGCAACTAATACTCATGCAACAATAGAAGAATTATTGTAAGCGTCGTTTTATGTGCGGCGCATGTCGTATCAAAGAAAGTAGGCGATTAGTTCTTCCCAGAACTTCTTATTAGTCATTTAAGAGGCTCAGAACAGTATGATGACAATACTGTAGGGTCTCCAATTACCCTTTGGCCATAAATGTGTGTGTTCTGTTCTCTGTGTTCTGTTATCCTGCGTGGATAGAGACTAGCTGAATCCCTGCCAAAGAAGTCCTACAAGGGTATCAAAAGATTCATAATTTTATAATAATTTCTTAAACAAACATAAGCCGGGGTAGCGTAGTTGGTATAGCGACTGGCTACGGGCTGAACGACTTAGGAATCGGAGTTCGAGTCCCGGTATTGTCAATAATTTTCACTTCCCTACGTCGTTCAAATCGGCTTTTGTGCTCACCCATCCTCCATCCAATGGAAAAACGGGGGCTGTCCCCCGGGGATAAATTGGCGGGGGCGTGACGCTAACCACTAGCCTTCAATTAGTCCCGAGGTCAAGAAAATATGGATCTATACATCCACTCCTCCATGCGTCTTCATGGTGTAGTGTTTAATTAGTTAAGCAGAGGGATAACTTTACCTTCCGAAGCACAACTGTACGTCGGACCTAAGCACTCAAATAACAATTAACTCCATGGAACAGATTTCTATGAGGAATTGGTCGAATACACGGTCAAGTTCCGCGCAGAAGCCCTTCTTTGTATCATCGCTTTAGTACTTTCTGGGGCGGGGTGGGGGGGAACATGAACATTCAGTAAAATATCACAGCAACGACTTCTTAAGAAAATATATGGCACTGTACAATTAGCAAACTCTGTCCTCCATTATGAACCATTTAGATGAAGTTTAGTATTTCCATACAGAAACCTGCAATCGGCAGCTGATTCAATATGATGATCACTCCATCTGCCCTCATGCATTCCACTGAATCTAACTTACACTTTCCTAATTTTGTTACTACTAGTTTCAAGTAGAACTCTGTGATTGCAAGAAACCCACTCAGCATGGAAAACGATCATGATGGTGATGATAAAAAAAATAATTAATGCCAAATATTAACATTAAACAGTAGCATTGCAATAGTAGAACACTGTAGTTAAACATCGTTGACATCAAAGCCCTCAACTGGACACGATTCTGAGCAAGTTCCAACGCCTTCCCATCCTCAAAATCTATTTTCTTCCTTCCTTCCTTTTGTCATCTTCCCATCTCATTCTAGATTTTCCAAGAGTTCCCTCCCTCCAAATTCTGTAAACAAAACCCGTCTACCATTTCCTGTCTACATGTTCAGTCCAGCACAGCTACTTTCATTTCAATATCGTAACAATTCTAGGAGTCCTGTAGCTACAAATCACAGAGTTCCTCTTTGTTACAGTAGCAATGACAATGGCAGTAATGCTGTCAGCAACTGGTGTTGTGCCGCAGGCTCTACACGAGTGTCTGAAGCCCCTATATCTGAAAGAAGATATTTGCAACAATATCCAACGGGCAAGAATGCTTGGAAGGTGTCGCGTGTGCATTTTTTTTTCAGTCTTCAAGAATAACCGTTGGAGATATTTTCACGTGTGGGAGGTTTGCGCGTCTATTAATAACGGGTTCTGGATTTTATGGTTGGATTTATTGGCACTTCTTTATAATTACAGTTAATTATAACAGCTAACACGTTGAACTCCTGAACGACGTCTGCCTAATGAACCTACATGAAGAATCTCTGACTAAACTCGGACTGATCTCTCACTCTGAATTTCCACTACTCTCGAATGCACGAATGAACTGCCTTTCATAACTGCCAGGCGGTCGGGACAGAAGTCGCCATGTCGTACAATTCCTCTGTTATTTTGTGTTCTCACGGGAATACCTTCGTTAATATTCATTGCCGAGGATACAAGTATTTACTTAGCCGTTAACTAGCAAGAATGACTTCAGCTTCTGCTATTATCCCGGCTTTTAGGCAGCGTTTACCTAGCCGTTGCCTAGCAAATGGTCATATCCCGTCACAGTATTTGTAATTAATTCGGTAAAATATGTCATTGAAATTAAACAACCCACTCTAATATCTGAAGGAAAATAAAGCGATAATAATATTCATTAATATTTTGTACGACACTCTGAAGTCTGAAGGAATATCGGACGGGCATAACAGTTCCTTTAATCTCGAAAAGGATCAAGACTCAGCCCTCGAAATGGCAGAAGAAGAAGGAGGAGATGATGATGATGGCGCAGGAGGAGGAAGGGAAGAAGAAGAAGTAACTAACATTGCATTAGCAGAACCAGGTCTATGGTGCATGGCCGCTACACATAGTCTGCCAACATACACTCATTTCTTCACTACATCACGCGCCAACCTGATGCTATAACAATTCTAATTGCAAACAGTCGACCTCCGTAAGCCTTCCTGAGCGACAGGTCAGAGAACAGGCCGCGCCCCGTGAAGACGTTGCGTCACAACCTTTAATGAGGATGCCGTTAATCATCAACATGTCTGTTCCTTAAGGGGATGAGGTTGCAATTTATCTCTGAATTCGCAGTCATAGTTTCGATAAAGGCTTCTTTACAGGGAGTTACAGTCGGGTACACTCTAGCAGATATCCCACTGTCCTCAAGGCGTCTTATTAACAAGCAGGTCTGAACAGAACTCACACAATTCTATTACATTGATTTCTAGTTGTACAAATTTGTTGCTAGATTATTGCTTTTTTTCTACATCCGTGAAGAAATATTTGCGTAAGTACAGGTTTTGCCTATGTTAAATTTGTTGTTGTCATGTTTGTAGCTAATTAATGGCTCATAAACAATATTTCATACATGATTTACAGACATGTTACGATCTATCTCCATGCAAGAATTCACATGTACAGCTTAAACTGTTCCTTAGTTACGCCGTTCAAATCGAAACTGAAAGAAAATTATCACATATGTTGTTGGGTGGGTTACACAAGAGTTTGCAATGACAAATTTACACTTCCTGAAGTTCTCTTACTAGACAACATATTTGTACCCTAAATCAAGTGGCGCTAGTGTCGTTGTCACATCACAAGTTCGCGCGTTCGCCATACTGTTATTATTGATTGCAGGAAATCACAAACTTATGAAGCTGAGAAGGGAGCCTCCAATGGTATAATATTCTTACTGCGTTTCATGAAAACTGGTCAAATGATTTATGAGCTAAAATGGAGGATTACGAAGACAAAATTGTGAATTCACAAGTTAATTCTTATCTTATGGAAGGAAAGTAGGTTAAAAGAGAGCTCGATCATATGCAAATAATGCATTACTTATGTTATGCAAAAGTAGCGTACTGGAATGAACTGTCGTTTTATATCGTGGTGTGAACACAAACGAGGAACTAAGACAGATAACATAGAGATTCATGGACCATAGGATATTTAACAACGCTGTATCGACTCCAGCGATTATTTATCGTCGAGTTGTATGAGAGGATTGTAGAATTCCGAGAGTTTGAAAAGATCTGGAAGCTGTCGTGGCCTATTTTACGGTGCTGTTCCAGCAATCGCCTGGAGCATCTGAGGAGAACCATGATTAATCTCAGATTATTCGGTATCCCGGTCGAGATTCTAAACGGCCGCCTCTCGAATATCGCCTGAACCAAATGTATCGATTAGTAACATAAACTTCATACTGTTAGACCTGCATGAAATCCTTTCGCCCTGTTTTCGCTATTCCTGGATTTCGTCTTGTTGCTATGCGACAGATAACACCTGCTTTGGAGTGCTGAATGTCACCTGCGTTTATGTCCCTCACTGTTCGTATCGTGGAAAGCATTTAATGCATCAAGCGATCTCTCTGCAATGACACGGCCGTAAGTAACAAAACACTGGACAAAGAAAATTCATAAGCCTATCGAAACGAATATACATTTTCATGGTTTCAGTGCAGTTTACTTTATGAACAAACCTGGAAAGGAATGTATATTGTCACTGGTGTTTTTTAAATATATTTTAATAATGCGTGCTTCAATCTATATCTTACTTAAATTATTATAGTTAATATACTGTTGACAAGTAAAAAAAAATTAGCGCCGAGCGATATCTCAGTCACTACATCGCTTTTGGTATAATAAAAGTCGTATTATTTCTTGTGTTATCAAAGAGGTTACGGTCTTAACAACATTCCTTTACTTTACATGTCGAGAAAACAGGCCAATGTGACATGGAATCACCTTGCTCAGAGTATGGATCAAGACATGCGTCTTGTAAATTCGAAAACTAACGTCCGAATTCCATAAAATGCGACTAATTTCTTGTCCAGTTATGCGAGTGTTAGTTTCTGAAAATGATCCCAGCTCTATGAAGAAAATTGATTAGATCAATTTAAGTAAAATTATTAGCAGTTACCGTGATCTTGAGGGAAGAGCTGGTTCTCGACGTAAACGTGTGCAGTGAATTAATTATCCTGTAGCTTCTGCGTAGGCAGTTCATTCGGAAAACTGAAGTAGGAGATGTAAGATTTGAGGCTTTCACGGCGGTGACTATGAAGAAAGCAGTCTTCTGGGATTTGGCGCCGTGTATATGTGGGGTTAACACCACATATACACGGCGCCAAATCCCAGAAGACTGCTTTCTTGAAGTCGGAGAATTTCAAGATTCGTGATTTCAGATCTGAGATATCATTCTGTTAAAAAGTGGCTCTTCTCACATTGGAATGAATTGAATGTAGCATGCATGGGAAGATTAGAACTGCATATATAGTGTAGCCGAAAAACTTAAGGGAATAAAATATTTTGAATTCGGAATATTACATAGGCTTGTAGTATTAAAACGGATCTTAAAGGAATGTAGCATGTAGAGCCGTTGCTATGCAACGATCGTGAACTGGGTGGTTACACAGACTCACTTCTGAGCAACGAGCAGGTAAACACGTTCCCGCTGCAAATTGTTACGCACGCAACGAGGGAAATAGATGTTGCCTACATGGGCCGTACCAAAGTGTTGAAACAAATCGAACTGGGGCAACTAGTTCAGTTGAGCTTTGCAAGGGAGGCTGAAGAGAGACGGCGCTAAATTGAATCGATAATTAGCAAAAATTCTGCATGGAAGCATGTGAAGATCGATCTTGAGAGTGTGGAGCTGAAGAATCTCCACCATTCGAAGCCGTTGCCAGGGAACGGCTTGTGAACACACAGTAGATTGGAAAAGGCTTAGCCGGTGCTCTGGTGATCTGTGAATTGTGGAGATCAGAGACGTCGCTGTAGTTACTTGTACTTCCGAGTCGTGTGTATAAGTGGTCAATAAATCCATTCAACAGTCCAAACCCCTATACGTGACAACAATAAAGTGCGAGAGTATGGACTGAATTCAAACGACTCATAATAGAGTCCAATGTTTGGAATTTCTGAACAAGGTAATTGCCATTTGGGTATTATTAACTTCTCAGGAAGACTCTGCTCCGTAGAGTTATAAAAAGTGAGAAATATATCCTATATTTTACAGTGTCATGTGCGTGTGTGTGTTTGTGTGTGTGTGTGTGTGTGTGTGTGTGCTATTTGCAGCGGGGGGATATTTTTGTGCCGGTCTAGAATATCGAAGTTAACGGCTTTGGGGATTCGTTGCACTCATCACGCGACACCGTCTATCCGCTAAATTTGGCACTAACTTCGCCGACAAGCGGCGGTCGCTCGGTCGGTATAGTTCGCTTGCGGACTCAAACTACGGAGTTTTTTTTATATGAATAAAGGAAATTGATAGTATATACATTTTGTGGTGGAGATATTATCCTAGATTTTGTAGGTGCTTGTAAAGACTTAATCATTTGAAACCTGAAATTTATCTAAATAATATGGAAACGGATTTGATCAACGCGTTGCCAGGCAACAGTTCTGTCAACAAGGTCCAACTCGCAACAATAGAGGAGGTCGTTTTTCTCGTGTCCGCGGTGACGTCACGCAGCGGTGGGTGGTGGTCACGTGACATTTGTTTCCTGTGATGGGTATCTGTTTCTCGGCTACATACGTGACAGAATTCGTTCGGTTCAGGGACGAGTCAGTTCTCTGTAGGAGATAGCCACGGGAGGTTCTTAGCTGAAGAAGAATACAAGAAGTCAGCCTGTGAAGATTTAACTTGTGATTTTAAGACTTTTTGTGTGCTGTAGCACAGTGATATCGGGAAGTGTGTGATTTAGTGAGACTTCTATACTTCCTGCGTTATAAATCCGTGAGGATTAGTGCAGATAGACTGAGAAGATTAGTGTGAAGTGATCGTATATAGTGTAAAGCAGCAATAGTATAATAAATATTTGTAGTTACAACCTGTAAGTTGTTAAGAAATCCAATTACCAATCCGAACCCCGTCTTTAGTCACCCACATACGTGATAATATTTAAATTTTAGTTGCTAGCTCACAGAAGACAAACGGTATCTCCATTACAAAAACAATCCTTAATATTATTGTTTAAGTATCGCCTTATATTCTTCGTAATACATGAAACCCATAAGCATGCTCAAAAGCATAAATTTTTAAATAATAAAACAGGCGACACATGTAGGTACCATCGTGATGTGGAAAATTAATGGATTTAAGGAAGCTATTGAGACAGGAATTTCGAAATTGTAGATCGATTTTAGCTCCTGCTTTCAGAAGTGGATATTTTGGGTCAAGAACAGTGAACAAAGATTTTAGTAAACGTGCTTAAAACACGCAGAAGCATTGTCACTATGCTTTATAGATGTGTTTAATCGTGTGGAATGTAAGTTCTCTGCAAGGACTCACACTGTCATTATGGCTTGGTCTGGTTACACATTAATTTTCAGGCCATAGTAAGCCTTCGTAATCTCTGTGAGAGAACTTTCAAGCAGGTTGCTAACTATGGTTGTTTCAGAGTTATTTTCTATCTAATACATGTTTGACGGTACGTCATACCTTCAGTGGGAATATTTAAGGAAGATATGCCCTGCATTCAACAAGTCCTCCACTAAATTCTGTCCAAAACATCTTCGAAGTTGCGCTAACATCAGCATGAGCATTATTTACGGATATGTATGTATTATTAATTTCTTGAAGGTTGGCATTAAAGTGTGCTACCTATGCATGGCGATTCCTAGGGGCGCCACATGGGACACTTACGTGTAGATGAAGAACAGGAGTTTTCATCCAAAAGTTTACCTGCTCAAAAGGTGCTTATACAGGCAGCAGGGCAATTGCGCCAACCACCTTGGCCAAGCGGCCTAAGGCTTGAACTGTCTTCACTCGCTCGAAAGATGGGATCGTGGGATCGAATCCCACTCAAGGCACGGACATTTGTCTGTGTTTATTCTGTTTTTATGTTGTTTTGTGTGTAGGTAGCGACATTACAACTGGCTGATCCGCCGTCCAAGGAGCCTTATCGACTGTGTATAGGATTGAGAGACTGGAAAAGCGACTAAGGTCCAACGAACCGACTAGAGATAGATAAGTAGGAATATATGTAGATAGATAGATAGATAGAGAGAGAGAGAGAGATAGATTAGATAGATAGATAGATAGATAGATAGATAGATAGGTAGGTAGAGATATAGGTAGGTAGGTAGGGAGAAAGACAGATAGAGATAGATAGATAGATAGATAGATAGATAGATAGATAGATAGATAGATAGATAGATAGATAGGCAGGTAGACAAATAGACGACTTTCGTAATGAGGAATTTATAATTTGTATTCTTCGCCAAATATAATTAGAATGATCAGGCCAAGGAGGATGGGACAAAGAATTTAGCACACGAGGGCGGGAAG